TATCCCTTTCCCTCTCGCGACTCCTACTCCTATCCCTTCGCTGATCACTACTTCGGTGTCGGTCTCTATCGGACGACTCCGACGTCTTTCGCGGCCTTTCAGTACTCTTTCTCTCTATCAATGAATTGAAAACCAATTCATAACTGATTGACAAGACATCCGTTTGCTTACCGTTTCGTTCAACGCTTTTGTCTTTACTTTTATTGCAATCCTTTTCTCTGTTTGAGTCGCTTTTGTGTCCATTATTGGTGTTTTGATCCGTTTCTGAACGCTTTTCATCGGATCTATCGTCCATTTGGTCCGCACTGTCATCCGATTCGCTGCCATAACCCGAAAGGCCTGTCAGTCCATCTAATCATCAAAACTCATTAGTAATGAACGCATTGACACACAAATCAAATTCACTCTCAAATCGTGTTTTGACACATAAATTAGATTTCATTACAAAAATCTAAAACTTAAAATCAAATCTAAAACTTAAGATCAGTTTACAATAAAACAAAACAAAACAAAATCAACGCATGAATTAAAGTCTGAGAAAAAAACTCGACTTAAACGCTATTATCATTACAATTAAGTGGACATATAGTGTACATATAGTGTACAGTAGACATGCACTACGATTTCATTTTGTTGTTAATATTGGAGTCAAATGTGTACTCAAATTGAGTGATCATCGCATTCATTACATACCACTTGCCGTCGGTTTCTTAAAACTTGTCGACTCGATGGACAGCCTAACATATGAGGCAAATATAAAAGTTCTATTTATTAATAATTAAATCAATTAATTTCAAAATTATAACAAATATTCAATAATTATAATTTAAATCATTTAAGAATTTAAGTGAATATTCTCCAACTGTTCTTCCATTCCATAGTATTTTGCTTTAAAATATGAAAAGAAAAACTTTTTATCGTTTCGCTTAATAAGTCTTAGTTTGGCTCCAAATGTGGGATCAGTTGTGAGACAATTCTCATGAATAGACCATAAGTTATATTCCGATAATACTTGTGAGCACTCGGGTCTGTCTGTCCAGTGAGGGCCGGGTATGTGCGGGCGATTCTAGTTATAGTATGACATTGAATGCAATATTTCTGTTAACTTAAGCCACATTTGTTCATAACTTCATTGTCTGAATAATTTTCTAAACTACAGAATATATACAAATAAATGAAAAAAAACTCAATTAATTATTAAATAATTTAAATATTAATTCACATTATCCTACGGTTTGTCCTCCAAATGAATCCCAAAAATATCTTTTTCTGCAATTTTAGCCAAACTGTAGACATCTATCTTATGGGTATAGTCAACTCCCTGACCCACTTCTGGCGCCTGATAACTCGTGTCTCCTTTATCTGACGAGTGCTGGTGAACAGTAGCCAAACCAAAGTCACATACTTTGAAAAACCTGCCGTTCCTTACAGTCTTCGCCACTAATATATTGATTATTGATTAAGTGTATTGCTAAACATTGTATAAAAACCTTACCGTATATATCACATAGCATTGACTGTCGTATTTAAATAATAAAACAATTTGTAAATAAATAATTAAATAATAATAATATATAATCAAAAAAATCTAAATCACAGACAAATGTATAAATAAAGTCAAAAAAACATTACGTAATCTAAAGATCTTTGAGGAACAAAACATATATACCATGTTTATTTACATTATTTTCGTGTCAATTAATTCATTTATTTTCAAAACTTTAATTTCATTAACACTGCAAATATCGATGCTATCAATCATGGTCATTTATAAATCAAATTTTAAGATTATATTTATGAAAACTGTAATTTTATAATTAACAAAAATATAACCACATAAATGTAAAATATGTTTTAAAACTATTGGAAAATTGAAAAACCTTTCTTTCAGAATAATTACAGAATATTCTATAAATAAGCAAAAGTTATCAACGAAATCCATAAATCATTTGAATCTAAAGGAATGAAATTAATTTGGATCTAAACATTGAGATACAAAACAAAAGTTTTAATATTTTCCCTATACGTCTGATATCTTGTGTGAACTGATCCACAAAAATGAGCCCAAAATTCATAAAAGAGTCAGCGAATGAGTTCGGCTTTGATTTATTCAAAGTATTCAAAGTCTGACACAAAACCCATTTAACACCGAAACCTCTGTTTCTCTGCATTTGCTTTCTATATATAACTCATTACTGATGATCAGAATCGGCGCCAAAAACACCTCTAAATCCCAATTATCAACAGTTTTTCGGATGAAAGACATGGCGAGCGAAGAGTCGATGCTTACGGAGTGGCAGTCGCTCAGGAAGAAGATACTGATCGATAACAACGATGTCCTGGTGTTGAGCCACTTCTCGTACTTCTCAACGACGACTCCAAGCGGTTACTGAAGGGAAGGACTACTTCGCTGTCAGGCCTAAGACAGTGACCGTCCGGGCGGTACAGAAAACGGTGGACACAATCGATGGCGACTCCAAAAGCAATACCGATGAATCTTCAATTATTTTAATTATTTGAATAATTAATCAATGTTTCAATGGTTTATTATCAATTTTGGCATTTATTAAAATATTATTTATTAAATCCGTAATATAATTAAGAAATGTTAATATTTCGATTAAATAAGTGATAAATAAGATATGAGTTGATCACCAGATTTCTGATCCGAGTTTTTCAGCCAAATATTGTTCAATGGTTTATTATCAATTTTGGCATTTATTAAAATATTATTTATTAAATCCGTAATATAATTAAGAAATGTTAATATTTCGATTAAATAAGTGATAAATAAGATATGAGTTGATCACCAGATTTCTGATCCGAGTTTTTCAGCCAAATATTGTTCAATGGTTTATTATCAATTTTGGCATTTATTAAAATATTATTTATTAAATCCGTAATATAATTAAGAAATGTTAATATTTCGATTAAATAAGTGATAAATAAGATATGAGTTGATCACCAGATTTCTGATCCGAGTTTTTCAGCCAAATATTGTTCAATGGTTTATTATCAATTTTGGCATTTATTAAAATATTATTTATTAAATCCGTAATATAATTAAGAAATGTTAATATTTCGATTAAATAAGTGATAAATAAGATATGAGTTGATCACCAGATTTCTGATCCGAGTTTTTCAGCCAAATATTGTTCAATGGTTTATTATCAATTTTGGCATTTATTAAAATATTATTTATTAAATCCGTAATATAATTAAGAAATGTTAATATTTCGATTAAATAAGTGATAAATAAGATATGAGNTAAACGTGTTCTTAAATTACAAGACTTACTACAATCCATGTCATACTATAACTATGATCACCAGCACAAACCCGGCCCTCATTGGACAGACAGACCCGAGTGCTCACAAGTCTTAGCCAAATATAATGAGTGGTCTATTGATAAGAATTGTCTCAAAACTGATCCCACATTTGATTCCACACTAAAACTCATTCAACAAAATGATTACAAGTTTTTTGCGGAATATTTTAATGCAAAATATGAAGGAATTGAAGCAAATTTAGAGTATATTCACTTAAATTCATTCAAACCATTTAACATTGGAATTGATTATAAAAGTAGTTTCAATGAATATTATGATGAAACATTTGATGAGATGTCGGTTATAGGATCGGGTGGTTTTGGGACCGTATTGAGAGTGAAACATAAATTTGATGGACAGTTATTTGCCGTCAAATGCATTAAATTTAATGGTAATATTTTTTATAAAAAAATATTAGAAATCTAAACTAATTTTTTCACAGATTTTGATGAAAAAGAAACCGGAAATGTAGTAAAAGAAGTAAAGAATTTGGAAAAAGTTAAGTCTGAATATGTGGTCCAATATTACGACTCATGGCATGAAACCGGATGTCTTTACATACAAATGGAGTTCTGTTCCAATAGTCTGCAGAATATTCTTGAAGTAAAACCACAAGTATTTGAGAGACAAGCGGGAGATCCCATGGATTTATACCAGTATTTCATTTCGTGTCATATATTCAAAGAGATCTTAGAATGCGTTCAATATTTACATGAATTGAATCCACAGATCATTCAGAGACCTCAAACCAGAAAACATATTAATTGCACACAACGTAAGTAACGACCGGTTTGTGAAGTTCTGTGACTTTGGTTTGGCTACAGTTCACGACAAACGCGTTCACTACAGGACTACTCAAAAACATACGGCAGATATCGGGGACTTAAGATATATGGCCCCTGAAATAGGTCAGGGTAGAAAGTATAGCCATAAATCAGATATTTATAGCCTGCCACTAATTGGTGGTAATATATTTGACGTGGATTTGTTTCTTATTGAACCAAGTAAGTTAAGGTAATTTACCACACTATGTATTAATGTAGTAACAAATTAAATTTTTAAATATTAAAATATAGTTTTATTATGATATAGCTCCTTTAAATACTCACCAGACAAATTTCTAAATTCACCAGTGTCAAAATTATACAAACTATTATCAACAATGTTTTTACAGAATTGGAATCATAGGCCGGAATGCAGTGAAGTGTTGATGAATTATAACGAATGGTCTATCCATAGGAATATTCTTATAAATCGTACAGAATTTGTCGAAACATTAAATAGACTGAAATCCAATGAAAACTCATTTTTCTATAAATTTTTAACAACTACACAAAGGCTGAAAATGTCTAGACTAGTTGACACATGTGATCGTATGGTGCCATAGGGCGAGGGGTGGTATCGACACCCAGTAGTCTAAAAATAGTCTAGGTAGACTAATTGGGTGAAACATATATTTTCTCTTTATTTTACTTAATTGTTTAATTAACTTATATATATATTTCGTTTATTTAATTCATTCAATAATAATAAATAATTTATTATAAACTATAATTAATATACAGTATATTTCTTAATAAATTTGTTAGGTTTGGTTATACTGTTTCCAACACTGAATTTAACTTGGTCAAATAAATGACATTGATTTAAACACCATGTCAAGGTATTACAAATTGTCAATATAATTTGGTGAAATTAACAAAATAAAATAAGCTTATTAAATGATATATAAATAT